CAGTAAGATGGTGAGAATCCTTTCTACAGGGGCAAAAATATTAAATCATGACCAGCAGTTTTTGGTGACCAGCACTAGCAGTTTTTGTTTTTTAATGACTTTGTCTCCTAGGTAAGCCTAGCCTAAAACCAGGTATGAGGTAAAGTCCTGGGGAGTAAAGGCGGCCAGCATGATGCTGATATCATTCACTAAGTGCCAGTTGGTCTACTAAAAGTCTAGCATCACATGCCTAATGCGTCTGTGATGGGAAAGAGGTCATTGGCTCACAACAGATGCACGTCTTTTACTGCGCATTCTTCTCTTTGACTCAGTGAGTATGCTCAGGAAGATAGAGATGGGCTGGGTCCAAAGTCAGTGGCTGGAGTCTCTAAAGCGGTCAGAGCTGACACACATCAGTTTCATATTTGTGCCAGGGTACACAGTCGTGCAAGGAAATGAGCAAGCAGATCGGCTTGCAGACAAAGCTACTGTGGAGGGCAGACGAGCCATGGACCAGATAGATATTCTGAATGCTCTACGAGAAGTAAGATGTTTGCGAACCAGGAGGTCAAAGAAGAAAAAGAAACCAACACAGAACTGGTGTCATGAGCCGCTACACGCAGCAGGGTTTATAAGGAGGGAATCCGAGCACTTATGGATTGAATGGTTTAATGTGCAATAAGGATAATCTGTCGACTGACTGACTAGGTGCTTGCTACAGAATTAAGGGGAACATTTCATGAACGCAATTCCCTGTGTGGGTTTGGGGGCCCCATTATGGGGAAAACAATAATAGACCCACTGCCTCCCCCCCAAAAAAAACATGTCGCAGGAGCAAAGTGGGGGCATCCTTCGAAGTCAGAGTACATCTGACTGAGTGGTAAGGAACAACCAACTGCACACAAATAAGCCAGTAAAATGGATGTACGCGCAAAACTCAGGCCTTGGCACAAAGCCAAAGTCCAAATGGACGAATAACCAGGACTTTCTCACCAGTTGAAGATCACTGTTTCAGGCCATGAAAAGGGGAGTTGGTAGCCAGTTCCCTTCCTCGTTGCTTTTCTCAAAAAATTCTGAAAATAGTCCGGTACCCATTTTGACGACATTTAATGTTCATAAATAAATCCTGCACCTACTGTGGATCAAGCGCTTACCAGTCTTGGAAGGCAGGCTCACTCACAATAAGCTACCACCAAAACTCTCTTTGAATGATGACCTAATAAGATGCCGCAAATTATGTCGAGCATTAAACTGTAATCAACTGTCTGTGACTATTTTTTGTTCAACTGCAGCATGTTTTGAAATCTTGTAGTTAAATGAGACAGTGTTTAAAACGTTTGCAGCTCTTGGGCTTTGTGGATGTGTTTACCAAATTCATGAACCTGAAGTAAAAGGGCTTGATGTCCATTATTTGTATTTTTAAACTGTTCTCGTAGTTTTTGAATGATGGTATGAGAGTCACACTGTGGAAGAGATTAGGGCCTTACTGTGTAGTATTATCAAAGATAACAGTACATGGCTGCCAACCTTCACTGTTGAGATGGTGAAAGGAAACTTTTCCAGGCTTTCAGGTGTATTGGGCATACAAGGTTAGACCTATATTTTATCAATCAGCGCTGGTAGTTGATGTAGTCAGTATCACGCTGGCCTTTTTTACTTCCCATTTATGGCTGGGACAACGTGGGAGCAAAGGTCATTTTTGAAAAGTCAGGCTCCATTACAAAGCAAAGCAATTTAACACCAAAGTTGTATGAGACATGACCTAATCTTTTCTTATGTCTTGGGCCCTGTTTTGAGAGGAGGGAAAGGAATAAGATATGAATTTTCTCTGTCTGGGTTACACAACCCTCTTTGGGGGGGGGGGGGGGGGGGGGTGAGATATGGACTAAATCTTCTCATCTGGGTTACAGAGCCCTGTTTTGGGGGGGGGGGGGGGGGGACACAGTCACTGCCCCTTAACTCTCTGAGTCCCAGAGAGTTTAACATCACAGGCCCAAGGGGTAGTTAAGATAGACGTAAAATCAGCGCATCTTGCGTTCCTTGGGACTCAAAAAGAGTTAACACACATGTCATAACAGTGACTAATTAATAGTTTGCTGATGGTCCAGTCTAGCTGTAAACCACAAAGCAATGTGCCAACAATTTTTAAGGGCAGGCAGAAAAGAAATCTTCACAGCTTGTCTTTACCTCAAAACAGCATTCAGTTTTTATTTCTGCTTTCCCCAAAAGTGTGCTAGGGTATAGTTAATTCCATCATGTCTGAATATGCAAGAATTCTCCAATACACACAAAAAAAAGGAACTGTGTAATTCATGCTGTAAAACATTTTCTTCGTGTAACAGTTCAAACATATAATGTTCATTAAATATCATTTCTTCATAAAAATGTGTTGCTTTTGTGCAGATTTTCACTTTTATTCTCTTAGGCTCAAATTCCCCGTGTGGGTTCCAGGGCCCTATTGTGGGGTGAAACAAGAAGAGACCCACTGCCTTCCCAACAAGCATGTCATAGGAGTCGAGTAACTGGGGGTTTCCTTCAAAGTCGGAGTGCATCTGCTTGAGAGGCTAGGAACCAACAATCTTCATACAAATAAGTAAAACAGATGGGCACGCAACACTTAGGTTCTGGAAAAGTCTAAAGTCCAGAGGTCGACGAACAACCAGAACTTTCCGTGGGAGTTTACAACCGGTGAATGTGAAGAATAATAATACATGGCTCACTTTAAATACAACTAGTGGATAGCCAAGTGTGTGTTTCATTGTGAGACGGTGTGAACTACAACATGCAGGATATAGTTTTTGAGACAAATGGGTGCTGGTAAGATCAATTAGATATCTATCACATCCACACAAAAAAAGACTTTTCATGCACTTGCATCCATAGAAATGTCACTCAGCATGGCCCCTTGTTTCACAGCGAAACACATATAAAATATAGGGTTATTCCAAATGATGGATACACTTTCATTCATGTATATTTACTTGAATATACATTACATATAAATAATATACATACAAGAGAGAGAGGAAGGACTAAAGTTTTGAATACTACCATTAGTGTGCAGTTGCATAACCAACCACCTAAATATGCATGCTGGCCGACCTGCAGAAAAGTATCACAACTGCAGTGAACTCAGTTCTACGAGAGATGCTTATTCTTGTACGGGATGAGTTTGGCTACTGCTTAGATGTTTACAGATGTAGATGTTTACATCTAATGTAAGTTTGTAAACTTTAGACCTTCCTCTCTTTTGTATTTACATTATCAACAATTAATGTATATTAAAAGAAACATCATCATGTGCCCTGCCAACTGGCGGAGGCGCTCATGCATCTCCACAGATCACGATCCCTGGTTGCCTGGAACAGCTCTCTTGATGATATCCCTCCATGCCATCGTTTCAGCCCATCCAGCATCGTCTCTCTGGGTCTGCCTCTACCCCTCTTTCGACTAATCTTTCCAGCTGTCATGTTTTCCAATGCCTCGCTTCTCATTATGTTGCCAAAGAACAGTGTTTGTCGCCTTCTTATCATTGTATATAGAGATCTACTTTTATTAGCTTCTTTCAAACAATCGTTGTTAGTTACTCTGGCCGTGCAAGGTATTTGTAACATTCATCTCAGAAAACACATCTCTGTTTCTTCCAAATTCTTCTTAATTTGTTAACTGACATTCCAAGATTTGCTTTCATACAGCAGCACAGGCTCTATGTAACAATTTTCCCTCTTTCTGACATTAAATGAGATCGACTTATTAAAAGAAATTTACATGAATGAAATTCCATCATTTTGAATAACCTTGTAGTTGAGAACATTCTGCTAGCTTTGCCAGGCAAGGCTAACCACAACAGTATTCTACTTCACTGACTGTTGGCCCACAAACTAAAGAAAGTTATTTCTTTTCACACCACAACAGACTCACTAGACTGACTATCTGCTCATTTCATGACTTCAGTTACAAATTAACCATGTCTCAATGTTAGAGGCAAATTTTTTGTTGTTTTAAAGCCTCAACCTAGCTGTTACCGGGGGCCCTAATATAACCCAACTTATGAGTTGAACTGGTTTCTGGGACCTGTCCCCTGGGCGATCCTCTTCAAATGGTGGCACTTTGTGTCACCGGGTGTTTATCACTCAGTGTGATGTCCTGTTGGGACTGAACAACATCATGACTTCAGTTCTAGATGCATTAACATTCTCAAATGACTGCCTCACTACCTTATATTGGCTGGCAGTGCCCGATTTCAGGACCATCACAAAAAGCCCTCAGAGGCAGCCAAAAGGGGACTTACAATTTTAAACCAAACCATTCTCATTTATTTAGTGCTCTTCATAAGCTTAGCATTAGTGATTCTGTTACACTATTATGGTCCCTACATTATGATCAGGCACACTTAATGAATATTTGCAGTTTAGCAATTTTTTCATTCTCCGTGTTTCTTTCTTGCATTGCAATGCTGACCTAAAATTTGTACAGTTAAATATTATAAGTCTGGTACCTAGATTTAATTTCTGCTGATTTTCAAAAATGTCCAAATGAAATGAAAAGTTATCTTGTATACTAATTTTAATAATATTTTGAACTTTGCTGCACCGTTAATTAAATTTACACATGACTCCACCACTTTGGTTTCACAAAATTGATTTCATTATTTTCATTATCTTTGTCCCTATGAATTTTTAAAAATACGTAACTGTAAACACCAAGCCCCATTTCTTCCCCAGTAAGTTTAATTTATCTACCTAATATCTAAATGTTATGTGTGTAGCAAAAAGAAAAAAAAATTAGGAAGTCAAGATCATCAAGCTTCTCTATCACAGTTCACTGAATCCCATTTCCCAGGAAGGCTCACCCAGTCAACAAATGTCTGCAAAAGTCAGATGTGTCACTACAGACAAGTCGGAAAAGTGACATTTGCAGGGAACTGAGCTTCTTGGGACGAAAGGATCAAAAGTCTTTTGCACACAACAGACATGGATATTGGTTTCAAACAGTTATCACAAACTGACAAAAAGCCGAACCTTTATTTTGTGAACTTCATCAACAATGACTGCCTCCCACTCTACTTGATTCAGTACTGTCTGTAGATGAGATATAAATACTTGCTATTCTAAAGTAAACAAGCCTTCTTCCATCAATTCCTCAAGCTGGAAGTTGTAGTGGAGTGGCTAGACGATTGCCTGCCAGCCCCAATGTGCCAAAGGTTTGAAAAGAGCTCATTAATTTTTTTTTTAAACACTTCATTAAAAAAAAAAGTAACACAAAAGCACTTTACTTCTAAAAAATAAATGGAACACATAATATAATAACCATGTGTTTCTTTTTCTGAACGGTAAAGCGCCTTGGATAACTGTTTCCTTTCTTTTCTTTTTTTTTAACGATACAGTTCACTATTGAAATGAAAGAACAAACTACTTAGCAAACACTGGAAGTCATAAAGAACAGCCAGATACAGGATGCACTTATGATAAAACTCAGATCAATGCAGCCATTAGAATCCCTCCATTCAGAACACAACCCTGAACCTCCTCTCACGAAAGAAGCAGATCATTATATTTATTCTGTGTTCAGAACACAACAGACTCTGCACCCATTTTTACCAGAAATTCAAGACTGGGGATTCAGAACTTTGCCCATGTGGACAGGCTCCACAGAATACAGAATGTGTGCGACAGACATGCTCTCTACATGCAGCAAAGAGGAGATCCCAGGTTTGGCCAATTGGTTTTACAATGGAAACCCAGCTGTATGGAAGACATGCCTCACACAGCAGACTTCATAACAGCCTGAGGCCTTCTTATCTGAAAACCTGCATTCTTATCTGAAAACTTGCCTTATCTGAAAACCACTGGCAGAACAAAAAGAAGAAGACTCAAGCCTTACAGTTATACTTATATATACGTGGGGTATCTCTTTCACTCACAGACAGAAAGGAAGAAGCGATAAAACACATATATAATACAAAGTTGGATAGTTAACACAGTAACTACTGGAAGCCACAGTAAATTTCATTACAAAGCTGGCTACTTTGATTTTTCAGGAAATTTCCACAAACCAGGCCTGGGAGTCTAAATTCTTGAAAATAATCTCTGCCTCAAACGAGATTCAATAAAATTCACACTTGGCAGCATGTCCTAGATACAACTACTGAAGCATTCTATGATCAAGTGCCTTGCCAGCTGGCATGGGTGATCTTGCTTATCCTAATATTGCGATCTCAATTAGCACTACATGTGCTTACACCATTTTATGGGTAGCACTGGCTCTTGTCATTCCGTGTCGATATGGAAGGTCTTATGTCATCAGTATTTTTTTCTCCGATGGCGACCTCTTGCTTGCACACGAGGTCTTTTCATGTGTAGCACATGTGTTGGTAGCTGTTCTGGCTGCATTCTAATGAGATGACCAAACAATCTGATCTTCTATTTCTCAGTGAATTTGCCATTGGTGTTGTCCCTCTAGTCTGTCTGATAGCACTATTTCTTACTTTGTCCATGACAAAAGACTGTTAAGGATCTTCCATCACTGTCTCAGTGTTTGTGAGTGTATCTGGGGGCGATATGTATATACGTACATATGTATGTGTGTTTAAGTATAAATTAGTGTGTATGTATGTCTGAGTGTGTATGCATGTGTAGGAAGTGTGTATGTATGGGTGTGTGTAAATGTGAGCATGTGTATATACCCATAGGTATCTAAATGTATGTTTTTGCCCCCCATGCCTTTGTACTTTTTACCATACAATCATACTATGTATTTTAATATATGAACATTGCTTTGTAGATAAAGCATTTCGTTTGTTCATTCGCTCCTTCCATAAATCTTTATACTTGGCACAGGGTGAAGTTTTTCTCTTCTTATAATGTGGCCTAACACAATGATTGCTGTCAGATGTGTATAGTTATAGAAAACAGGCAGACCCTTGTCAATCAGGCAAGCCGTGTTAGCGTAGCTGCTAGACACTTATCAAGCTGGCCTGGGATCATGGACTCAAATCCACATCGAAGCAGATTTTTTCTGAATGACTTTGGCTTTCTAGGTCAACCCAGCCTAAAACTGGTACCAGGTAATGTCCTGGGAAATAAAGACAGCCAGCGTGATGCTCACACCATCGCCCACCAAGTACTGATTGTTTTATGGTCAACAAAATGCAAGTCCAACTTCATATGCCTAATGGTGTAAAAAAGGGTATTTTACTCTTTTTTTTCTTCTTTTCATTCAGCTATTCCAGATTTCAATCTGACCAGAAGGTAGAAGTTGTTGTTGTTCTTCTTCTCTTCCACCTTGTACCTCATCGAAGCTGTTAATAAACAGAAAATAAAGTGATAACCCACTCTGTAAGATTCACTACTTACAGTGTTATCCCTGAACGTTTCAAATGTTGTCACAACAACTTCCAACTTCCCTTTCTTGAGGTTATTAAGGCAGGTCTCCTTGTCTGCTCCATGAAATTTACTGCAGAATAAAAAGCAAGAAAAAGGTATTCCATAACACACTGCTGTTTGCAAAGAAACAAACAAATAACATATTCATATCATCAGTATTATGTTTCCAGTGCCATACTGGCATACTTTAAAAAAGCTCACATACAGAAGTTCTCTCACAGTGGAACTCTTCCACAAAATCACTTAGTACACTTGCAATACACAAATATAATTCAGCCACAGAATCTCAGCAGACGCAGAAGGAAACCATATTGTAGATCACTAGTCATAGCCAAGATTCATCCCCACTGTCGGTTGCTTGTATAGAAATTCAGACATCCTTTCTCCCATAAGGCAAGAAAGAATTCTTTCATCTTCTGGGCCTCTCAGAATCTCTCCTAACTCTCACGAACCCCGAGTCCCAGCTCATACATCCCGTGTTTAATTTAATTCACATTCCAAACATACACCAGCCGAATTCATGCATTTCCTTGGGATAATTTTGTATGCTCTTCCTTTCGCACATAATCTATGATCAATAATCTGTGTCTCAAGTTTCTCCTACCGACAGAGAAAAGACTGTTACAGAAGACAAGGAGAACAAACTCTAACCTTGCACTGAAATATCCCCATGTCTTGAGTTCATCCAGCCAGTTATACATCACAGCACTGGGCCCGATTATAAGGAAAGGCTTGTGTGCTTGCTTTGGTGGGCTACTTGGAATGTCATCGGACATCTAAATGAGACAGAACTAACAAAATCAGTAAGTGTTTGTGGGAAGTCAAAAAGTAACATGTATTCGCATGAAAACTTCAGCTTTCAGTTTACTTATAATTACTCTTAAGTACAGTGATGTATACACAAGATCTTCCTTGGGAGCTGGTGTGATGTACCGGCTAGATGCTAGCCTGCAGATCTGAAGGTAGTGGGTTCAAATCCTCATGAAGTTAGATTTTTTCAAACATGACCTTGGCTCCCATGTCAACCCAGCCTTAAAGAGGTACCAGGTAAAGTCCTAGGAAATAAAGGTGGCTGGCGTCCTGTTAACCACATCACCCATCGAGGTCTGACTGGTCTATACAAAATATAAGTCTAGCTTCATATGCCGAATGTGCTAAAGGTGTGAAAAGGGACGCTTACTATTTTGCTTTTACTAAGATCTTCCATTAAGTCTTTAAACAAAAACAAAAAAAGTCAACAGAAATTAGAAGCACAATTAGTCAGCTTCCCAATAAAACATAATAACAAAAGATAAAATAGGCATTGCAGCTAGAAAGCCTTCATCAGCATTAAACATTATTGCATGACGACTAGTTTGTGGAACCAGGAGCTGCAATAGCACAGTATCTAGCAGGCTTTCTTACCACCCCCAAATGTCATGAGTTTGAACTTGCATCAAGTTAGTTAGTTAGTCGACAGATTATCCTCAATGCACACTGAACCATTCAGTCTATAAATGCTCGGATCCTGTCCTTAGTAAATCCGGCAGCCTGTAGCGGCTCACTACACCAGTTCTATGTTGATTTTTTTTTTTTTTTTTGGCTTCCTGCGTAGTACTCTTGTCTAGCCACATCCCTTTTAACATGATGTTCTTGCAGTCTGGTCATGGTTGCAGTCGATTCTGTGTTTCAATTTCTAGGATTCAGTTTTTTTATTCATTTTATTATCAATTATTACAGTAGTATGCTCCTGACGAGGTACAGCAAAATATGCCAGGCAGTAAATTGTGCAGTCTATTGTTTGTGTCTTCTTTGTTCAAATTCACAACGGAAAAACACTGCTTTGATTCTCATATTGTCATCGAAATCCATAAACACTGCATTAAAAAAATATATTTGTGATTTAATAAATAAACCATCCACCATGTAAACGGAACCCTAGCACTTAAGGATCATTGAATTTGTAATTTCTTTCATAACTGCTAAGTCACAGAGCCACACCAAACTGTTTTACGGCCTTTAAATTCAGGCAGATTTCCAGAACCAAGGGTCCCTCAATTCTCAGATTCAGTTTTTTCCTGACACATGCTTGCACCAGTGTTAACAGATAAGAAATGTATGCCATTATAAGATTACATTCATTCATCACAGCACCATTACCTGGCGAATAAATTTTGGAATGTTGTGTAGAGTATCTGTCTGAGTGCCCTGCTTGCCCAGCAGTGCTGCCAAGAAACCAATCACCTACAGAGAAGATACCAGAACATTCTTGAATTCTTTATTTTTCATGAACTCGTAACAGAGGAAATGCATTCTAGGTATTTGAGAAAAGAAAACACAAACAGTAGACTGCAAAATTTACTGTCACAAAAACAACGATTCTCTTAAGACTTTTGATACCTGTATAGTCTTGCCCAGTCCCATGTCATCTCCTAAAATAGCTCCTGTCTTGGCTATATAATGCTGGTAAAGAAAACGAATGCCCTCCCTCTGATAATCTCGTAGGTACTGGTTTATTGTTGCAGGAACCTGCAACAGAAATAAAAGTTTTCAGATCTCAACGTCAAAAATATTATGTTAAGAGGAATAATACTCATGTTTCTAAAGACAAGCAGGGACTACCAGCCAGACTTGACAGTACATCTAGCAAATAAGGTGAGGAAAATTCCAGCCAGTATATCACAAAATGAAGCTAAATAATATTATTATAGCGAATATGTCACCACTGATCACTGGAATCATGAAAGCTAATAGACTGAAATGGCTGGGGCATATTGACAGAATGTCAGATGATAGAGAAGTAAAAACTGTATACACCAGGGAGATAAATGGTCGTAGACCACAAGGGAGACCAAGAAGATGATGGAGAGATAATATCCAGACAGACCTGCAAACACTTGGTGTTACCATCTGGAAAGAGAAGGCCAACCAGAGAGATGAATGGAGGCAGGTGATATCTGCAGCAATGAACCTCAAGGGCTCGGAATGCAGAAGAAGAAGAATATGTAAAAAATACACACCTTGACTAGAAAGCTCAACAGAGAGAAAGGAAAGGAGACCAAAAAAACAAATACTCTGACCAAAGTCTTCATCAACAGACAAAACAACCGGCAAAATAAAATAACCCAACAAGGTGAAAATTAATTACATACAGTGACACTTATAGAGGGAGCCACCGTAGTGTAGCAACTAGACACTTGCCTGCGGACCTGAAAGTGAGGGGTTAAAATCTGATCGGAGCCAGACTTTTTACAAAAATGACCTTGGCTCCCAGGCTGACTCAGCCCTAAATGGGTAGCAAGTATATCCTGGGAAGTAGAGGCGGCCGGCATGATGCTGACCACATCACCCATTCAGTGCCGACTGGTCTATAAAATACAGGTCTAGCACCATATGCCCAATCGATGTGAAGGTATGGAAAAGGGTCCTTTACTTTACTTACACTTGTAGTTGATGTTGCAGGTCATAGTTGTCTACGGCCTGTGTCATGTGTAATGCCAATCATATCTGGCCGAGACAGGAGACTTTATAACCAACCTCTCATGGGAATGCCCAATGTGCAATGAAGATGACTGTAACAACACAACACATCTGGGACACAATTCTTCCAAACCATCCAATGTTGTGTCTCCTGATCCTTCCCTGTGTATTTTCCACTCCAACTTGCCCACTGTCATTACACTCCAATTTCCCCTTTTCTTATGATATACCCAAAATATTTGGACTGTCTTCCTCTGATATGAATAATCAGCTCTCTTTGTGCTAGTTTCTTTCATGACATCACCAGTAAACTGGTTTTTTTGTCCATTAAAGAAATTGCAACCTACCAAACTTATGTAAAGTCAACAAATACATTTGAAATTAAATAACAGACGAACCAATGCTGAAAAGGAGAGTTTATGTTGATTATTATTTAGTGAAACTATCAAAACAGCACTCCAGAACAACCCACCAGTTGTCTCAACAGTTCTACAACAGCACGCCACTGATAATGCCTGTTCCATGTGATTAATTTAATGGCTTGTCCCCTTAGTAAAACACTCATATCTGGCAGCTCCAGGCTATTCCCCCAACCCCAAATGTCCACCAGTCTAGAGAGGGATATGGAATCATGCCCTATTTTGATAACAGCAGTTTTAGTCACGTTAACATTGGTATTGAAGGGTAAATCAATAAATTTCAATATAAAATTCTAGCAAACATTAGTCTCTCCAGAACATCATCATGTAAATTGGATATTCAATTCTGAAAATAAAAGACAAATTTAAACTGTGGTAATGAGGTGCTCAGAAAAACAAATGCACACATCACATTAATGTGCAGACTGTGGTAATGAGGTGCTCAGAAAAACAAATGCACACAGCACGTTAATGAGCAGAATTTCATCATTTTGTTGTTGTCTATTTTAGGGCAGGGCAAACTGGGAGCTTAGGCTAATTTTTCTTTTTAACCTATCTCACTGTCAGCTTAAACCTACTGAACTGGTAGGTATCTGCTGGCATATACTCAGTGAAGGCATCATATGGAGGAGCAACCAGTTCTCCAACAATTATCTAGTGCCCATGGCAGACAAAGAAAACAACCGTAGAGCTGCATTGAACTGAGAACTTGCTGAGAACAGAACTCAAAATAAATGTATTTGTAAATTTGTGCACTAACCACTAGACCATCTTAGCTTGTGTATGTACTACAGTTACTTACTATTACTGATGGCTGCACATCATCAGCTGATAGTCTGAAGCCAACTTTGTCGGATGTTGGTGCCATGGTCAGACTGGGTCGCTCCTCATGACTATCTGATACGCCTGTGTGACAGAGGTGTGGTCTATTACTCAAATGAATACATTTTTATTTTTAAGACATTGGATTTATGTTGTTATCGACACCTTTCCATCCAACATACAAATACAAATTACTATAGGAAGGCAACGGAATAACATCCCAGGGCTATAACAACTATACCAATTAAAACCAAGGGATGAAGCTCCTCCTCTCTATAGCACAAAGTCTGGGCAATATCATAGAGAGACTGTGTTGCCCATGCAGAACGACCACTCTCCTGGCCTGTTTTGTTAACTCTAAAGGAAAGGTAACACCAATACAAGTGGTACAGAGCATGCTGCAGAAGCTGCCAGATTAGAAGATATATGCTCTGTATGTCCACTTATTGGAAATGTTCTCCTTGACTCACTTGCCAGACTATCTGCTTCCAAACAGATTATATCATGATGACTGCAAGGGATAATATCTGCTGGTAACAGAAAAAAAAATGCTATGAGGAAATTCCATTAAAACTGCTTTTAAATCTTCTGGCACTGACAGAAGGCTGCTGCCACCCTATGAGTGGTATTACAGACCTCAAGCGTGGTGCATCAGCCTGCCAGGCAACAGAGATTGTTAAGGCAGATCCCCTTCACTGTAACTTCCATTTGTTACCCCTACTGCTCAAGAACTTTCCGGGATCAAATTAGACTAATCAGACATCACCGTACTCATAATTACTGATAATTATTTTTTAAAAATTTTTTTATAATTTGTTTTTGTTAAGAGGTTTTCCTCACATGTGATGGATGAACAACAAACACAACTGCCAAAGAAATGCTAAAGGCTTGGTTGGCTGTGCCATAACATTAAATTTTCAGTTGCATTTCTTCATTCTAGGAACGAGCTAGTATCTTTCAACCAAAGCTGTTGGCATGTCAGGTTAAGCATACGCCAATCACATCAATTTATAACAAAATATATATATATCAATTTGTTAAACAAAAAACATGGACAGTTACAAAATTTATCTCAAACTTTTCAAAAACTGTTTCCTAGCTTTAAAAAAAAAGTACTAGGTTGCACAGTTTTATCACTTTAAAATCTACAAACTGTTCTCATTGCAAGCCACAATCCCCCTGTCCCACATCAAACTCTTAACTCTGATGTTTCCATATTACAGTGATAGAACGGCTTGTGAGGTCCAATGACTCCAGAGCTCCGCTGACGTCCTAAGTTAATTTGCTGTGTGTACAGCCATGTAGAAGTTTAGCTACTGGCAGAGCTGGACAGGTCGAGGGAGAGGAAACAAAGAGGGACACAGACATGTTGCCTTGCAGGTAGACCAGAGACAATAAAAGGCTCAGAAAAAATATAAAAAAAATTACTTACAAAGTCAGATACCAGCTAAGACCAGATAAAACAGTGTAACCTAACTTTTTTTATGATGATGAAATACGTACCCCAAAAGTCACTTGCATTACTGACTGAAATGTCTGCAATCATCTCTGTGTTTTGTGTGCTGTCCATCACATTCACATCATCTCTAGCACTACTGCTTATCTCCAAATGTTTACTGGAACCTGCATCGTGCTGTTTTCTTCTGGCCTTGTCTCGCACAGCTGTGTACTTTCCTTGTTCACAACTAACATGCTGAGCTAATCTGAAAATAAAACATTAATGCAGTTAACTGTCTACGGAATGAATGAATGAATGAATGAATGAATCAAGAACTAATATCACTGCACTCTGAACATTCCCAAACATGCTCTGTGCCTTTCTTCAGTCACCAACAGAGTCCACATGCTAATAATGCTAGTTGCAACTAACTGCCAATTACTGCTTTTGTGATACCAATTTTGCGGTGTAGGCAGGGCGGAAAGGGGGTGGCGGGGGGCTTTCAGCCTGATGATTTATGGCCGCAGGCTAATACTAGTGGCAACCTGATTTAAAAGTCTGCCTATGTACCCCCTCTATGTTTTATATCTTCCAGAACCTCTACTCACCTCTCGCCTCCCTTCTCCATATAATTAGTTTTTCAATATCTGGATTCTTTGTCTTTCTATTGCACACTGTCTATGTGATCCCAGACAGTCTGCTTTATCATAAAGCAGCTCACCACCCAAAGGAGTGGCAGCATCTATGGTAGTTGAGTTGAGTCAAGAACTGATATCACAGCACTTGAGGCATTCCCACAAGTGCTCCATCCCCGTCTTGCCTTTCCTCTGGGCCTCGAGTATCTGCCAGAACCCCTTGTTACACCACGCTGCATCAATCTCACCAGACTGTGGTGATCCATCTGCTCCTCTGAACTGTACACGCTCTCCCACAAGGCACCAACCATGTCTGCCTTATCATGCAGCTATGAAAGTTTGCTTATAGAAGTATTTCATAAGAGAATCGGAACATGAAAACATATATAAAAAATTGTATAAAAATATAATTGTAATTTCGCTGGCCCTTTTGAGGACTTTGTTTTACTCCTGAAAGACTTGATCTTTCACCTGATAGCAGCCAGGTCAGTGCAGTGGCTGTCATTTTATATATTTCTGACTTGTGCTGCTGCTTTTTAGTGTTTCTGACCTAGTGTTTTTATTTTTAGTTTCTGACCCAGTGCTGCTTTTGTAAATGTTTCTGAACTAATTTTGTTGCTCTCAATGTTTCTGACCACATGCTTTTTTTTTTTCAGTTTCTGACCTAGTGCTGTTGCTTTCAATGTTTTCAACCTAGTGTTTTTTGTTTTTAGTTTCCTACCTAGTGCTGTTGTTGTAAATGTTTCTGGCCTAGTGCTGTTGTTGCAAATGTTTCTAACCTCGTGCTGCTGTTTTCAATGTTTGTGACCTAGAGTTGTTTGAAATGTTTCTGTTCTCACAATTTAAATGCTTCTAACCTAGTGTTGTTTTTCCCCCAGTTTTTGTGACCTACAATTGGAAATGTTTCTGATCTCACACTTTAAGTTGTTTGAAATGTTTTTGATCTCACACTTCAAAAGTTTCAGTCGGTGTGATTGTTTTAATTCCTCAATTCCAGCGTGCTGCAATGTTTTTTTTTAAAACCACAGCCTGGAAAAGAAAGGTAAAGTAAGTTTACCTCTTTCGCTTCTGCTGCATTCTGTTATTTCCTCGAAGCAAGGACGATGAACCTGTTTGTGAATTAAGCCACTTTGAAGATATATCCACCTCCTTTCGTAACTTGGATATTTTAGCCTGGTTTGAGATATCACTTGCTTCAGTCTCATCATCTGAATCCAGATAGTAACCAAACTTCTCTCTATGAAATAGAAGAATACAATGAGAAGGGTGGTTACTATATAATAATTATCAAGTGAAGCAGCACAAATTAGGAAGCTCAACACAAGGAAAGATGCTTCAACCAAAGCTTTTCTAAAGAAAAAAAAACGGGAATAATTAGCTACTTTTCCTTCTTCAGGACTCCAAGCCTTTGAGGTTCATTGCTGCAGATATCACCTGCCTCCACTTCTGTCTGGACATTATCTCTTCATAATCTTTTCAGTCTGCCTTGTGGTCTATGACCATTCAGTTCCCTTGGGTATACAGTTTTTACCTCTCTGTCATCTGACACTCTCTCAATATGCCCCAGACACTTCAATCTACTAGATCTCATGATTCCAGGGATCAATGGTGATTTAAACAGATTATGAATTTAGTTGTTGCTACTCACTCTCCATTTGCATCTTTGATGGGTCTAAAGATTCCTCGTAAGACTCTGTTTTCAAAAATGTGTAATAAGGCTTTATCTCTTTTAGGTGTGCTCCAAGTTTCAGAGCCATATAAAATTACTTATATTTTGATCTTGGTATTGCGAAACAGAGACTTTGATTTTAGAAGATGTTCAAGGGCATAGTATACATTATTTCTAGATTGTATTTCTTCCTCAGCATGTTTGTTGGAGCTAGTGAAGTTTGCACCCAAGTTTTTATATCTTTCCGTTTGTTTGATTTTCAAATTTTCGACTTGTATGTGGCCAGAGTTTAAATCATTTCCCTGTCTGTGAGCTGCATCTTTTAAGAGAATCAGGGTTTTTACAGTCTCAAGTTCATTTTCTCAAAGGGATGAAAAGCTCTTTTCCACTAGGGGCATGGACGTCTACCGAAGCCTATCCCCCACGATGTTCTGTTGCATCAACAGTCAGCTCGAAGCTCTTTCAGCCGCTTCACCCAGTTGTTTTTGTGGCCATTTACGCTTTTTTCCTCCCAAGCACAGCTGCTTCAGTACATTGTATGTGGAGGTGGAGATCAGTCCTCTTGCGCCCACCTCGACGGTGAAGATTGTTACTGTGCACGCTTCCTCTCTCCTCCAACCAGCCACAAGACCTCCATACTTTTCAGGCTTGTACAGGTGGTTTTCTTCCATCCATCACTCATATAGCATGATCAACTCTTATCAGGACAAGCTGGGTTTTTCCGTAGAGTGCATGACAATGTCTGGTCTCAGGCCAGTCTTTCGGATTGATTCTGGGTACTTTTTGAAACCAGACAGTCAACCGCCAGTAACCAGTTCCTCACACAGTCAAATATTGATGGAGCATAAGCGACCTTGTTGACTTTACCTTTAGAGATCTGTCCAACCCTGAGGAAGTGCATTTGGGCAGGAAAGGGGGGGGGGGGGGGGGTGGTAGGACTGGCCCTTATCCTGGCTTGATCCAAAATGTCCGCTCTCGCCAAGTTATATTTTACTATGTTATAAGGGTCTTTCATACATAGTTTGGTCATGGTGATTAACCTATTTGGTATTCCAAAGTCCTTTCTAGCATTCCATAAACTTGTTCTATGTACATTATCATATGTCTTTTTAAAATACATTAAAACATTATGTACATCTCTTCTATATTCCAAGTTTTGCTCTGCTATTTATACAGTAAAATGAATATCTGATCTACTGATCTGTTCTGTCGGATTAATTATCTAGCAAATAAAATATCTAGATCCCTAAAATGTATTCCATATGTGATAATTCTATAAACAGATTATAATTATGTTTCGGACTTCTAAATCATCAGATAGATCTGCAGATGCATGGAGATTCCACATATCACAACCACCAATATTCATTTTACAATCCTTAGCAGTAATGAGTTAACAGTCTGAAAGCATGACATATAAACTAAATGTAGTCACTTACTCCAGTCTAGAAGCCTTCTCCTGTCCAGTCAGTGGCTGAAAGAGGCCCGAACACATTTCTCTTCTACTGGTCATCCTGAGATACTGCTTTATCAACAAAAAAAGTGAAACATATATATGTGTGTGTGTGTCTATATATATATCTCTCTCTCGGGCATATTGAGAGAATGTCAGAAGAAAGATGTTAAAACTGTATACACAAGGGAAATGAATGGTCGCACACCACGAGGCAGACCAAGTAGACCTTAGAGAGATAATATCCAGTCAGACCTGCAAACACTTGGTGTCACCAACTGGAAAGAGAAGGCCAACCAGAGAACTGAGTGGAGGCAGATGATATCTGCAGCATTGAACCTTAAAGGCTCTGAAGGCTAAAGAAGCAATCTATTGTTTGTATCTTCCTTTATTTACAACAGTGAAACATATATATGTCTTCTTATTGTACATGCCATGTGACATTGGTAGTCATGTCTATCAACAACCCCCTGTCTTGTGTACTTTCCATCAATTCTGATACAGATTACAAATTATCCCCCCCCCCCAATTTTGATGTCAAACTACCCAGAATCTTCTCTCTTAAGTCTTCTGGTGATGCTGGTGTGTTGGGAAATGAATAGGTGGTTAGACTGCCTGGTTCTGCACCACTTGGTGGTGAACTGATGTTGTTGTTCTTTTTATTTGTTCACTTGAAAAAGGTTATCTATATATGCAAGTCTACTCTTGTCTGAACTGATGTATGATAGGCTAGATGTTGTGAAGGCCCTTTGGAGGCGAGTTAACAATGCGGAGGTACAGATAGATCATTATGGTCTGAGGAGAATGGCGCTGCGTAAAGTCACCAGGCGATCTGACAGATGCTCAGCACTCAGGGGAAAGGGGATACGGATATACAATTCAGACAATTACTGGTACCATCGGAATTGGAACTCTTCGCTTGTTGCTGAAATGGGGATGGAGCGCTTATGGCGGTGTCTATGATGTCGATTCTTAATTCAACATTCACACCATCATGATGCAGTCCAGTTTTCCACCTCTCATGACATGACTACAGAACAAAGACTTCTCCTTCTGGTGTGGGCAACCAGCTCTCTTCACGAGTTAGTATCTTCCAAGACATTTTCACCATTCTTTTAATCTGTTCATAGTATTCTTTTTCTGGATCCGCATGTCCGCCTTATCAGCCAAACAATACGGTGCACACCTTGCCAGGCTCGTCGGCAGATAACCATGAATTTATAGTGATCTCTTTGAAAAAGTGAGCTGGTGGCCATTTTTATATGTTAATTAGGTCAAGTATGCCGATATTATCATTTTTTTGTTTTTGTTCAGCATGTACACTTTATCAGCCATATATTGCAATATTGTGTAAACCCTGCCAGGTTTGCTGCGCAGAACCATACATTTTTAGCGTTTAGTTTACATAAAAATAATGAGCTAGCAGTCTTTTTTATATGTAAATCAGGCCATTTTGCACTGTATTTAGAAATACATTTACGCCTCACCACCCTTATTGCAATGATACATAGCGGCTAAGGGATTTCTTAGGAAAAAAAAGTAGCTATGGCCATGCAAACATTTAGTCGTTTCAATCCTACATTCTACTGGGGCACACTCGGAATCCATCTTTTGTCAGGTTACACTATAGGCAATCTTTTGAATGGAGACGCTAGGGGAGCAATCTATTGTGTGTTTACGACAACCATAAGGGACACAATCCACTGTTTGTGTACATTTCCATAATAATCTTCTGTAATATTTAGTATTGCTTCAGGTTAGAGTCAGGGCCAACTCTAAACCTAACCTCAAACAGTATTAAAAATGAAAGAATATTTTTATTTTGTAATATTGTATACTTACATAAAGAATTGATTACGTCCCCTAGGGTCCTCACTTAGAGTAATATCAACTTACAACAGATCGCGTCACCTAGGGTCGCTGTTCAAAGGAGTGACATTTTGTCTGTGTGGTAACAGCCATTAAAATGTTAATATCTCCATCTGGAATTGATTTACGGGTGTCACTGATGTAATCGTTGTATTAGATATTTTAATCTCTATCCAGCTGTGATAGTTTCATAAGTAAAAATCCAATAAATAAAACTTCACTAGCATCCTTAAAACAACCAATACTGGGCACTCGTAAGTAAATTTCACTCTACAAGGACATCATACAGAGCAATAAACACCTGGTGACACAAAGTGCCACCATGTGGATGATGATCACCTGTAAAGAGGTCCCAGAAACCACGTTTAACTGTTGGGTTTTATTGCGGCCCTCTGCAAAAGCCAAAGTGGGGCTTCAAAATAATGACAAAAGTTGCGTCCCACATGGGGACGACATTGGTTAGTGTTGTAAACACTGTGCACTCCTTTGAAAGGTGATCTTAGGGAGATGCAATCTTTTATAACTTGGCATAACTTCAACGGCTATCTTCTGATTAACATTCCCAAATTATTGAGGCCGAAAATATACCCTAACAGGGGGTCAGTCACATATCAATTGGGGACTTATGGTGACTTAAATTGCGCACTTCCGGCGACTACCACCACTGCCGAGAGTATCTTCCACGCCACTCGCGGCGTGGACTGTGGGTAAACTAGATGGCTGGAACTCACGAGCAAAAGCACCGCATCTCCTGCAGCTTCCTTCATTTTATTTGCTTGTGAGTCCCAGCCATCTAGTTTAGCCCTAGTCCATGGTGCGTGTAGCAGTGTGGGAGATACTCTCAGCAGTGGCGGAAGTCCCCAATTGACATGTGACTGAGGCCCTGTTAGGGTGTATTTTTGGCCTCAATAATTTGGGACCATTATTCGGAAGATAGCCACTTCAACTATGGCTATTCTCCGAATAACGGGCACAAAAGATAGCGGCCAAAAACAGGGCCTCAGTCATGTGTCAACTGCGCACTTCCGGCGACCTAATTTGCGGTTTTCCGGTGACTACCACCACTGTCAAAAGTATCCCCCACGCCGCTCATGTGGCGTGGATTGGGGCTAAACTAGATGGCTAGGACTCCCAAGCAAAGCTGCAGGAGATGAGGAAGCTGCTGCTCATGAGTCTCAGCCATCTAGTTTAGCCCCAATCCACGCTGCGTGAGCGATACTCTCGGCGGTGTCGGCAGTCGCCGAAAACCGCAAATTAAGTCGCTGGAAGTGCGCAATTGACACGTGACTGAGGTTCTGTTAGGATTTTTTTGTGGCCGCCATCTTTTGTGCCTGCTATTCGGAGGATAGCCTCAGCTACTGACCATAGGGGACATTCTTTGTGTAAGTTCATGTAATAATAACATTCTTTCATATTTAATATTGGCTATCCTTTGAATAACGGTCCCAAATTATCAAGGCTAAGAAAATATCCCAACAGGGCCTCTGTCATATGTAAACTGCGGACCTCTTTCCGGCGACGGCTCTCCTCCGAACTTCTACCCCCACATTAGGGCGGCAACAAATATTCGTACGGGGCTCAGTTCTATTAAAAATATGCCCCGGCGACTATACCGCCACCGCTGAGAGTATCCGCTGCTCCGCTACGCTTGGCACGGCAGGGGTGGGAGCTAAACTAGATGGCTGGGACTCACGAGCAAATAAAATGGAGGAAGCTGCAGAAGAAGCGGATCGTCGTTTGAAGGAGTCCCGAATACTGACTGAGCATTAAATTGTGCGACTGAAAACTAAATTGTTGTTGTAGTGACTACAGTTTCGACAATTTGCGGTCCTTTTAGCAATTTCCGTTACCATGGAAACCGTTTGAAACTTGTTTGGAAAATGTCGGCTGGGGTTTCGGGATGGGTCCTAATCTCTCATGAAATTTTGTGATTGATGTGATTTTCACCAGCTATGAATAGCTGAAAACGGCGGGAACGAACCCGATTAACAGCGCATGTCTATGACAGCCGGACGTCCTCTGTTTTTCTGTTACATCGGTTTGATTGAAAATAGCGCTAAGTATTCACGGTTGGCTTTAAGGCCTTAAACATTACCAGACATGGTAATGCTAATTATAATTGAATTCTCTGTCCAATTTTACATTTGTGTATAAAATTTCTTTCTTATCTGTGGCTGTTTCGTTTTACAGTGACATTTTTCATGCAATCGCTATTCTGTGGCTGTGTCTGAGAAAAATTGTCTGCCATCTTGTCCAATAAAAACAAAACCAAAACGAAAGTTGCGCAGAGAAAACTTCTTGTTTCTCAGTCTCAGACACAAGTTTTAGCAGCTGTTTTTTACATCTCATCTCCACAAAAACCTACATATCTCAGCTCAGAAATGACATACAAGGCTAAAAATTTGACTAAAGTAACTAGTTGTTGATTTCTTCTTCTTCTTCTTCTTCGCGTTTACCAGCTGTACACTCTGGCGTAAAGTTCTGGTTGTTCGTCCACTTCTGGACTGCAGTCCTGCTCCAGACAGTGTTGCGTGTGCATTTACAGATCTGATTCAATTGAATGTAGACTGCTGGTTCCTTGCCTCTCAGGCAGATGCACTCCGACTTCAAAGGAAGCTCCCCAGTTAGTCGACTCTTACGACATGCTTTTGGGGAGGCAGTGGGTCTATTCTTGTTTTCCCCACAATAGGGCCCCGGAACCCACACGGGGGTGTTGATTTCTATTTACTATTTACTTACTTTCTTCTATCTGTGGACTAGTTTTCAATATAGTCTGTCTGGTGTTTCCCCTCATCTTCCTAGAACTGTCTATCGGTTACACATTCTTCGCTGTCTCAAGCAGTTTACAATACTTTACAAGACTGAGTACCGTAAATATTAATAAATAAATTATTATTAAAACACAAACCACTCAGTCGGTGGTTGTCTGTGAAAACAGATATGTATAGTACAGTATTGAGCAGTTCAGTTGCTTCGTCAATTGTTTATTTCGCATTCAAACTTGCTAGATACTACGGTCAAAAGCAGCTATCGGATGCCTGTAGCCGTAGACACAGATAAAGAACACCGATAAATCATGATTACGCTCAAAGGACATCATCGTCTACACATACTGATCCGTTAAGCGTGGGTCAAAGCGTTCGACATCAGTCATGATACACATTGAGTCCCGTCTGGGTCAAAAATAGGAT